AGTACAGACTTTGAATAGTATGACTTTCTCTAAAGTGATTTTAAATGATTCCATCCAGTGAGCAGTAAAAAAAAAATCGTTCTCTTCAGTTGCTTGTCTTCAAGCATCTAGAGTTATGTTTTTTTAACTTTTCCGTACATTAAGAGAGAAGAACCTCTTGAGCCATCTCAACTCCTGGTGACTACATGGGCACATCCACACCATTCTTGCAAGCAACATGGACGTGATTTGCTTTCTTTCAGGATGCATTTCTGGTTTCCTATTCTAAACTACAGCCGTATAATTCCTTGGTGGTCTCCCCTGCAAGTCCTAGCCAGGGCTAACACTGTCTGGCTTCTGAGCCAAAATAGGTGAAACCACTCAGAGTGACCTGTTTTCCATTCACAGCAGGATCCAAAGTGTCTTTTTATTCATAGAGGAATCTCAGATCACTGAATGTTTGAGCAGATGTAGTAGTTATTTCTCTGTAGCTTTTTTTGCCATGTCTCAGAGGATCCCCCCAACTCCCCAGAACACATTTTCAGGGAGTGTTGGAAATGCGATGAGTTGGAATGCTCTACGCATTATGAATCCATTCTTTTAACACATTTAATTCATTCTTCTTAAATGGAGAAAATTTTTAAACATACAATATTCATCCTTTTAAAAAGGCCTACTTAGACTGCTATAGTTTCATTACATTCAATGAAAGTATAATCATAGGTTCTAATGGAATCACCTCCATTTACCTTTCTAGCCCAATAGCACATTTGGAAAAGCACTTGAAGTTAATGGAATTTAAGGAACTGATTAAAGCTCAGTACAATGGGGGGGGGGGAGGAGGAAAAAGGAGTAACTTCAAGATATGCTTAAACCATCTGTATCAACACCACATACTAAAAAATAGCTCTTTTGAGAATATTTCTCAATTTTTCATCATAGCCATTTATTCTTTATTTTTGTTTGCTTGTTTGTTTGAAGGGAAAGTTAGGATTGTAAAAATGGGAGATAGATGAAAACTTGACATGAAACATAAAAAGTTTATTGATATCTCTGTTTCAGACAGACTATGCACTTCCCCCCCCCCTTCTAGGATTTGAATCTGCATTGTGTAAAAAAATGAATATATATTTTAAACTTGATTTTCATGGATATGTATGACAATTGCTTTGAAATATGCTACTGGAAAAGGGTACAAATAAAAATTAATGCAAGTGAATAGTTTTTTAACAATGTTCTTAATTGACTGTGTTGAGGAATCCTTGGTTACTGGATTAATTTAGGTAGTTATTTCTGTATTGCTTCAGTAATCTGGAATGTCATTTACAAATATCTTACAAGTCACAGAGAATTCTGGAACACATTCAACAATGCATATCCAGTTCCATGTTGGCTTAGTAGCCAAATTAATGTAGGTCTCAACTATATGTGAAAGCTATATTCTTGAATACCTACAGTTGCTGGAAAAACTAGATAGGAGGGATCTACAACAAGACACAATCATGTATTTTCCTTCCCTTTTATACCTTTAGTGGATGACTTCATGAATTTATCAAACCCCTTTTGCTGTTATATCTAAATTAGGAAAATACAAGTTTTGGAAATCACTACACATTAGGGTCAAAGCATGTTTGCAATCCTGGTTTACAAGGCTGAAATAAATAGAAGTTGTTGTTGAGCCTACAAACCATAGCTTGAAAAACAGAAGACATGGAGCTCTGCATAACTCCAGATCACCACTAGCTAGCAGCAAAAAATAAAATCAAAAACAATAAAATCAAAAATTGCAGCCTAGATATGGTAGTCCTGTAGATAGATAACTTCAGCAGTTTTCTGGACTGGAATCATACTCAAATTAATTTAACATGAGATAGTTGTTTCACTAAAATCAAAGGGCATTATCATATAATCATCATGGAAAAATATGTTTAAGAAATATTCCACCCATTCTGAAAAAATATATGTATCTCTAGTTTTTCTGCTGTGAACTTTGGTAAAAGAGTAGGGGAAATTCGTGCCCCTCTGAATTGTTCATACTTTCTCTGGATTTCCCATAATAATAATAATCTAGCAAAAAATAAAATATTGAAAACCATCATGAAAGGATAATGGTAAGAGTCAAAGTGTACGTTACAAGCCTGCATTACAACCCCTTTAATCAAAATAAAACCTATTTGCATAGACTGTGAAGAGTCATGACTAGGACTAGATCTGAACCACCATAAACTAATTTGCACCAAGCTACAAAAGTACCATTAATAGATGGTGCTGCTGCTGTTTACTAACAGGGTTGAGAAAGAAATCCAGAGCTCGCAACCAGGAATCACAGCAAAGCAAGAGAGAGTTGTTGAGGTGGTTGATGGATCTAAAAATGTGTTAGTGAAGCCACAAGTCAGCAAGGGGCAAACTATGGGCTTAGCACTATGGTTGCTACCTCCTTTTCCATTTTTCCAACAAGCTCTTGCCTGCTATTGTTAAAACAGCCCATTTTTGCAATATATTGCCAATACTCCCAATAGTAGCCCTCCTCCCCCCCCCCCAAATGCCCTGAGGCCTGCAATATTCTGCCTTGTATCAGGATAGTTTGCACATTTTTCTTACCCTCCATTTCCTACATCAGAGACTTTTCATTAGTTGCCTGGCTAATGTACGCACACGTGTACGCGTCCACACAGAGTGAGTTTCTCCAGTTCTCACTGTGCAGCAAACCTGAAGTTTTTTCACTCCAGAAGCAGAATTTCTCCAGAAGTCCTCCAGGAAAAAAGGGACAGGGAGTTAAATTTAGGGGGCTTCAGGGCTGTGGCCTCTGATGACCAACCTCAGTGATTTCACTGTAATTACAGGGACATTTACTCCATAGCAAAGGAGAGCCTTTGCCCTCTGCTGGTACAGTGTGTCCACCAGCTCCGTGTCTGGGTAGAAATAAACCAGAAGCTTGGAAACCAACCTTAGTCAGTGCAGGGATTCCTACCAAGAGCCCCTGTGATCCAGACCCAGTATGGTTGTTTGGGTTTGAATTAAAAAAGGGAAGGGAAGGTGGAGAGAGAGAGAGAGAGAGCACACTAGAGGTAACAGAGAGGGACCTTAAGGCTGAGGCAGCTAAAATCAGTGCTTGAAAACATCACTGTCCTGTTTTCTGAAAGAGGTTGCTTTTGTAAAACCTCTCCCAGATAAGAGGAGGAAAAAGCATGAAGCCAGGATATCCTGGTAAGCAGTTTTATTATCTCAAAAGTAAGTGTTTGTGCTGTCTTCAAGGAGCAAATTTTCATGACAGACAGCAACTGCGAGTGGAGTAGGTGCGGTGGGGGGGGGTTCAATGGAAGAGCAAGATTCTTCAAAGAGCTGTGAGGACAATTCAATAGTTTGCCTAAGCTGAAAAAAATATTTAAGGATGGATGTGGGGGCACGGGTAAATGATCGACAGGCAATATCCTCCTGTGAAATGTTTTATACCTTTCTACAGAACTGAAGATACTTAACTTGACCCTGAAACTAGTGTTGAATACTCTGTCTCATTGGTGTTATTTACTTATTTATTTCTGTCCCATCTCCCACAAAGTCCCATCTTGAAGCAATTTACATTAAAAAGAACATGTATTAAAATACAATAAATTAGTTTTTGTTAAATGTATGTGTATTGGAGGGAGGGTATGATAAAGGAGGACAACAGAAAACATAACCATTTACCCCTAACGTTCACAGAGAGAAAACCTTGGCGAAAGAGCACATCTTCTTTAGGTATTCCTTCTCTGCGGCCTTTTACTTTTTCATCCTTCTGGGGCCATACAAGAACAGGGTGGGTATCCTGTGGTGGTTGCTAACCTTGACCATGCAACCATGGAGCTTTCATTGTCCCCACCCCCCTCAAAAAAAAAAAGAGAGACAAAAAGAAAAATGAAAAAGACTGAGAAGTGCCAGCCTCTTTTGAACAAGGTGAAAGGTTTCCAACATAGCTGCTGGTTGACCAGCCCACTTGTTATCTGAACAAACCTGTTTTGAATCTGTCTCAGAAACCATTTGATCATATGCATTTTAACTGTGGAACTAAATTCCACCCAAATTCAATAGGAATTAATCATCTCCCAAGTTTATAAACAGAATATTATCATCCACTGGAGCTACTGTGTACCTTTTTAGATTATCCCAAGATGTCCAGTCGGGCTTACTCCCTTTGAAGAATGTATAGGTTGTGGGCTAAGAACTCTTGGGCACTGAATTGTACTGAGCTATTCTGCTCTCCTCTATCCCAGTCACCTCCTCAAAAGTAATCTTTTGTCTGCAGTTCTAAACTTTCTTATGATTGAAATCAGTCTCTTTGATCTCCTCGGGCTTTCTGCCTGAGTACACATACAGGCATGGTATCATATTGCTTTTATCTCACTGGTCTATCATTACAAATAGCTCCTGAGGTTGCAATTAAAAGTAGCCAAATACAAGAATATTTTCAATTCCCAGTATTAATAAATATGATACCTGCCAACAAATGTATATGTCGAGGCTCATTTTCCTGCACTATTAAATACAGCACAAGATTGGATCCATGTAGCCATTCATTTTTAGCCTGAAAACTTATCTCCTATGCCCATTCTTAGCAATTGGAAATGCAGATGCTATGAAACATTATTCCTCTAACCTGTTGCCTTTTCCAGATGTGCTTCTCACTCCATGAAAGTTCCAGGGCCGTGGAAGGCTGCTACAGAAGACAGAGGAACTGGGGCACGAAGCCACACAATCAAATGAATAACTGTATGCAGATGTATATGAAATCACTATACAAGCTAGCATGGGTATATCCTGGCATCACTGCACAGGAAAGCATCTGTATTACCCTTACGTCTCTGAATAAATTCAGATGACAGCTCCATTTCATTTCTTCATTCATTTTGGAGGCCAGATGGCATTAGAATCATTTACTTCACCTTGTTGTGTTTAATTACTACAATCAACACACTATTTTCCAAATTAATCATAACAAAGTAATTTCATTAGTAACACAGCAGGCTATTGAATTATTAGCATCATAACAGTTTGCAAACAATTAAACTTTATTTGAACCTTAAAAATTTGCAGCATGGAACGTTACTGTGAGATCTAATAGCAGTATAGTACAAATCCAGTACAGAGCAAATAAGCAAGTTGCTACATAAAATATGACTTATGAAATAACTCTTTTGCAAAGGAACACAAGTAAATAATGAGAACAAACCAATTAGCATATACTGCCAAATTGTGTTGGATTCACATTAATGGGGAATTTTCCCAGGCCCCCCAAAAGGTTATGGCATTTGTCAAGATATTTGTTTACAAATATCACACCCTTTTCTTTTTGCTGGTTTAGATAAGGCATGTCTAGTTAAAAGGTAGGAGTAGAGTAGTTGTGAAACATCTGCACTGTGAATGGGTGTGCTTGCTAACATCATCTGTGCAGAACATGAAAAAAAGGTTAAGAGAACAATAAAATCACTGCTTCCTATATCATCCAATCAATAGGAAAAATTATTTGAAGGGTTTGTCATTCATCAGTTGGCTAAGGACTCCCTCTCCTGGATTTACATGAAAAAGGGAAGGAAATTCTCCAAATACTTTAAGTTGCAAAAAATTCATCTGAACGCAACAAATACGGCTGGGGGATGGGTTCCCCACCAGCATGTGCCGTGAAAGTCTACTGCCATCTACTGGCAAACATTGGTAATACACAAATCTCTTTTTCAAATTAGCATTATTTCTAGCACTAACAGCATTTCGGAACAGTGATGTAATTCCTGGTTTGTTAACAAGCGTTGCTTCTCAGGGGTGTCAGGTCATATCCATAAACTTGAGGAATGCTTAATCCTTCTAAAGAATTCTTCATTCACCAATGAATTTTCTTTAAATAATAGTCTATCCAATGGTCTTCAATGGACTTTGTAAAAAAACAAAAACAAAATAGGACATAAACACTGCAATTGAAAGAGGCTTTTATGCCTTGATGCATACCAGGAAACATTAATCACATGCTAAAATTGCTCTTGGATTATACCACTTCAGAAAACAAGGAGGGAGATTTCTTTGAATGCTCCCCTGCAGTGGGTTAGCATAGACAGAATTAGATACAGACTTAACAGTGCAGCCTTCTACGTGTTTCTTCAAAAGTAGACAAGATTTATTTCCTTGTACGTGCATATAAAATCACAATCTATATTAGGTTCATTTAAGTCCCTCTGATTGCGATGGGAGTCTATTTCCAACTCATGGTCAATTAGCTTTCTCCTTAACATGCTAGCTTTCTATGTGTAGGGTTTTGTTTTGCTTTTTAATTATATACAGATAATTAATAGTTTTACCATGTGACAATCTATTTGCTCAACCAAGCTTTGGCTCACTATATGCATAGTAAAAGATAACCACTGCAGAGGACAGAGCAAAAACAGGCAAACCCTTTTAAAAAAAACTTTAATTGTTCAACATATGAGCCTTCTGCATTGCTGTATTAATTTTACAGTTCTGCCTAATCTTAGTCTTTGGCCACCATTAATTTAGAAAGAGGGAATATAATCAAACCTCACCGAGTCGCAATCTCAGTACATATTCTTCTGGTGTTTATGGCTTCTGCCCCCCAAAACAGAGACTCTTAAACACTGAACCCCTATCGATGCTGCTCTTTTGAGAGAGGCAGATTAAACAGTACAATAGTACTTCATAGGAATATTTCAGGCAAGTATTTGGCTGTCTGGCCACAGAGGAGCTCATTCAAAAGCTACTTTTTTCGATCTGGAAAAGAGATTAGCAGCAGGACACCTGCAAAACGGCTGCAGAACTTGAGTATACAGATGTAGGTGATCACAGGACAGAGCCAAAATATGGAAAGAGAATACAGATCATCCTGATGTCAGTTAGATTTGCCTATGTCACAATTAGTTATTATAAAAGCAGTTCAGACCAATGCAATGGTTTGTGGATCAATAGGGCTCTCCCTCCAAATGGGAAAACAAACATGAGGGTCTTAGGAACGATCAGTATAAACTTCAAAGGGGGACTTTGTTTAGCATTATTGGTGATTTTACACTGGACTTATCAAATACATTTAATTACTTAGCAACCTAATATATAACCCTATTACATGATTTTTGATCACTCCATATGATGAGCTTAAGAAGAAAGCTATGAAGCAATTGAAGCCAAAAACCAACAATAGAGTTGTATGGAAGTAGCCATTAATCCAATGTTTCTCAACCCAGCATGGCTGGCTAGGGAATTCTGGGAATTGTAGTCCACCATTTGAAAGTCGCCAAGTTTGAGAAACACTGCATTAATCAAATAAAGTTAATGTTCATACACGTTTTTGGAGGAACCACAGATACTGCTTCTAAAAGCTCTAAGAAAAAATACATATCTAAGAATATGTATGAACTGATGCTACAAAGTACAATGTACACCTTCGCCAAATATATTAAAAACGGGTATATTATATTTCAAAATGCTATCACAGTGTCACGTCTTTTCCTTTTTCACATAATTTAACTGTTTAAGCATTAAAAATGCAAATGAAGTAAAAGATCAGAAACTTTTCAGTTAAGAAATAGCAGGTCATAGGAATGTTTGCAGGAAAGATCCATTGCTGTGTATCATTTGTGCCAAGTAGAAGCATAAAATCTTGCAAAGATCATCTGCGTTGTACATATTGAAAGTAATTAGGCTGATCACCAAAAATTTATTGTAGATCTCTCTTCTATTAAATTTCAACTGCATATAATCAGGATATGCCCATTTACCAAGTGAGTAATAAATACAACCCCAAATGAAAGTATATCACAACAAAGAGTGTCAAAGCAAACAGTATTCTTTTTTTAAGTGAAAATGTGTGTATATATAACACAGATTTCCAGTCTTTCATTTCACACTGATCTTTGTAGCCCCTCCACAGCCTCCACTAGTTGGCCTCTAGTTTGCAGAATCAGCCAAGCTGGAAAGGAAGAAAGAAATGAAAACTATAGTTCTGAATAAGTAAATGTAGCATAACATTTTAAAACCATAAGAAACTCTACACTCCATGTTTTCCCAACTTGAGGGCCTCTAAAAGTTTTGGACTATCATTCCCAACAACATGGCTTAGAGCCAGGGCATGAGATTGGAGATTTATTTATTACATTTGTACCCCACCACAATTAATGTGAGTCTCTCTGCTCTACCGCTTTAATGCTCCCTAGAAAAGCAGATGCACACAGGAAAAAATGCACAAACTAAGGGCTTGCTTCCATGATTGACAACGAAGAAGTCCAAAAAATTAAAATACCTCTCTCCCCTTAAAAATAACTATAGAATGTCCTTGGTCCTGGTCAGTTATCTGCAGTGCGCAAATTCTATGGCAGTAACAGGGGGTGAGTTTAATGCAACCTACAAGCCTTACCCACTCTCAGTTTTAGTCAAATAGTAACACCCCATGCCCTAACCACACAGCTCCTCCAGAGTTAAGTTCTGCTTATTTTCTCCAGTAATTAATCAGAACAGAAAGTCCTTTGTGCTGGTGGACACTAAGAGCCACAACACAACATAACAACTTCACATGACAAATGACTAAATCTTATCCTATCAATGTAGAACAACTTATTTACAAGAGTTCAATTGATTAGCTTTATTTTCATAATTAAGCAATGAAACTAATGTCTGAATTAAATGAAAACTGCTAAAGTAAACAACAGGGTAACTGATTCTTTTCAGCTTCCAATGTCAAATTAAAAAAAAAAGTGAGGGGGAGAAGAGACTATGAATTGAAACAAGAATGTTCCTCTAAATTAATTTTAGAACATCTGGTTATGTAAACACATCCTTGAAAACAGCATGTGGCACCATCACATTTATCCAAGTGGTCTGGAAACTATTTAGACCATTGGTAGGGTAAGAAATTTGGGCACATAGGAGTACAGTTATAACATCAGCACTGGCTGACATATATACTGAAGAGGGCTGTGCAGCACTTCAGGTTTAAAAAAAAAAAGCTTTAGAGCACGCAGATATGGACACCTAACACCTGTCTGTCTGCAGCATCTCTCTTTTCCGAGGACTGAACTGCAGCTGTTGAAAGCCCCTGAACATTCCCAGGAAAAGGTGCAGCTGCTTTAAGCAGCTGTCCAGAGGACCTACAAGAACATCTCACAGGCTCCAAAACACCTTCTTGTCTTTCAATCTGAAGAACTGCAGAGCCCTAATACTAGGCGCAGGTAGCCTATTGCTACTAAAACAGCTAAATACAAAATATATGTAGGAAAAGGAGCTTCTTAACAGATATGTGGAATAGCCAGGAAGTGACTGGACAAAATGCAAATAGGTCAGGGTATATGAAATACTGATTTCCAATAGGATTGTTAAGTACTGCTTAAATCTTTCCCATTGAGAGGTCTTTAAAAGAGATTTCTGAATCATATTCAAAATTTGTAATAAAGTAAGTTTTAGGATACATGCAGATACATTATTTGAGCCATCTGGAAGTCCCACTAATCACAACTGTTTAGTCAAAAGTGGCTTGCAGCAGAACATGGCTAGATAGTATCACAGATGACTGGCTAGTGTCTCTAATGTCACAAGCCCACTTTTTCCCTTGCCACCGCAAAACAGTTTTATTATCAACTATAACAACTTAAATGAAAGCTCTTGGTTTTGTTGTTATTATAGTTGTTTTAAAAAGACAATGGTCTGTATGAAAAATGAGGGAAAGGAGTGTGTTCACCTTTCCTAATCTGCGTATCTATCATTTACACTATAAAGGCAGGAGACAGCTGGGATCATCTTGCAAAAGAAAACCGCTTACACGTCCTGTTTTAGTGTTCTAAGTATTCTATTTCTGTGACCCTGAAGAAAATAAATCAATTAATAAAATGGAGGCCAAATATTGGTGTGATACAGAAGAGAGGATATTGGAATATATTTTCCTCTTTTCTAGAAACCTAATAATTTATTGTATCTCATGTAAAACTACAGATCTTTTCTCTCCCACCCGCCCCCCACCCCCCAAGAATTACAGTAAAGGTTCCAGGAAAAGAAACCTATATGAAACAGAGCAAAAGAACATATAAACCATTACAGAAGATTGAATTAAAATGTACTTACTCTTGCCTCTCAAATATCATACATCTCCATTATGTAGGCTTTAGGCACTAAGCCAACGGTTCCTTTCAGTTCTCCTACCCACCAGCCAAATCTACTGTACTCCTAATTGAAAACAATATGCAGTATTAACCTTTAGTCTGATATGAATGCAACAGAGTTTTGCATATGACTCAAGTTTCCTCCTTATGTACAGTTATAAGAGCATGAATAGAAAATTAAAACATTAAGGAATAGTGTATGAGCGTTATACACATGAATTTCTGAAGCATTTGAAATGCAGTTAGGGCCAAGTCAGGAAATTACTTTTTAAATGGCTAGGCATCTGTTTCGATGTCTGGGAAAAAAAAAAAAGATAAAAAATCACTACTTACTTACCTATGGATCCTAGAAGCCAACATATATTCAATGAGACAAAAGGAATATGATTATATCATCATGTGTTTTGTTTGTATTTCCTGACATAGTGATAAACACTTCTCAAACAAACAAAAAGGCAGAGAAATAAACCCTGTACATCTTAGCACGCTCAACTGGAAAAAATTTTCCAGTTGTAAGTCTTGCAGTCTTCCTTGTGCTGCTATTTTTTAAAAAACACGTTGTTATTGGGAGAGCTTCTTTTCAGAAATGGTCAAATTGGACTCATATTTCTCTCTGTATTTGTTTTTCACTAATAGAATATGCTTCTCTATTACTGTAAAAAACTCCCTCTCTACATATATATACATACATATACATATACACATATATGCAAAAACATAATGCTTCATAAAAAGGTATGAGTATCAGCCAGAACCCACTCAGTAACGGTCTAACAAATATGCAGATATCCTCTGTTAGTTAAATCTATGTCAAATTCACCTAGAAGAACTGCATAGCCTTTATCCCTTCTCTGTGTCAACCAGTGCTTTTTGCCAGAAAATTTTATCACAGATCTCATATGCCTGACAGATGACTAATGCATTTTGCTTTGAAATTTGTTTAGGCTTAGCAAGATGAATCCAGAACAAACCGAGTATATGAAAGTTTAAGGAAATAATCTTTTCCAAAGGCAATACCAAATAACAGAGATCCAAATTTAATTGTTTTTGTCCCTGGAAGGTAAATATTGTTATGATTAATCCTAACAGCAGCTCAATAACTTCCAACAGCTGAAAATGAACCCCAGTAAACTACGTGGCAAAGGAAACAGAAGAAAACAGACTCCTCGTTCAAAAGACAGACCGACAATGAACTGCATAAACAACCGAGGAAAACAGAACAGACCTAAAGAGCGTTCTGCTGCAACGGGATGCATTTGCCAGTCCGTTTTTACCTGAAGCTAAGCATTAATGGGATTCTGATGGAATTTTGGCATTATATGGGACGCAAATTCAAATTCACCTGTCCTTCCTACAGCATTTAAGGGAATGGAAACAGCAAGGTACCAAAATTACTTCCATCCCTTCAAGGGCTTTCTTCAAATGATCTGATTAACTCGTGCCAGATCTATTAACCCTAATCTATTAACAGCCCGTATATGCTTTCCATCCCCTGCTATCTTCAGTTCACATTTGTTTCCCATCTGCTCCCATCCATTAACCCAGTTGTTCATAACCCCAAATTTGCCTTGCTTCCTGAGGCATGTGATGTCCCTCCCTCCCCACCTCCTCCCATCTCAACTCCACCTTAATCTCTAATTTGGCACAAGCATTGAGGAGAGGGTTTCTCCAGGTTATGCCATAACATAAAGAAGTAGCTGAGATTTTTGTTTTAGTTTTGGTAATGAAGACAATTCTGGGTAGGGGAAAAAAAGACGGCTTCTATAAAGTGTGGGAAATTAAAAGCCATGAGGCTGACTTAATACCCTCATTTAACCAAGGGCCACAACAAACCATACCACCAAGCTTGGCTTTCACCTAATTTGCCATCAGGAAAGAAGAGATGCTCCAAAGAAAAACTCTTGATTTCTTCATTCCCCATGGCCACAAATGATGCTAGTTCACCAGTGCGGTTCAGCAAGCAGGCCCCTCTGCCAGCCACAGTGAGAATGACTCTTGCTGGAACGATTGTTCTGGGGCCAAAACCCTAAAGGCAGAAGGCACTTGCTGCCTCACCAGGGGTTCAGATGTTCCAGCTGTATGTGTTTGTTTAATAAACACATGTTTCATCCCACATTAGCCTGCTTAAATACACAAGCTAAGTCTCTACAGATTTAAAGTGCAAGTAATCACTCATAATGCCAGTCCTCACCTGTGCTAGAGGAATCTTGCCAAGAAAGCTTTCCAAAATAACTTAAAAAAAAATCCGCTGGAGAAAATGCTCACAGAACAGGGCAGAGAACAATCATGATGTTTTGCAGAATGCTGCTTTAGTTAAGGGATCATTAAAGCTTTTTATGACACAGTGAACATATTCCATGTAGATATTTCAAGAACTGAGAAACAACATATCCTTAGGGTGATAGGAGAACCAACTTCAGGAGCCATAAATTAAATTAATAAACTTTTTTCCCAAAAAATTATCTTGCTATTTAAGAATATTTAAATTTAATGCCCTTGTGTGACGCTAAATGTTATGGTAATGGTAACATAATAGTCTCATAAGCTAATTTATGGATAGGCTTCAGACATTCAAATCTTTTACTTTATCATTACTATTCTTGGTATGAACCCCACAAGCAATATGAATCCCAATTAAAGCATATGAAGTATAAGCAAGTAGGAAAGAAAAAAGTGAACTACTATATTGGAAATATAATGTTTTACCCTTAGGTTACAATCATCACTACAGAGACATCCCTTTTTAACTGGTTAATGTGCTTACATCTCTTTCTTAAAATGCGTGTAACTTTTGTGTGCACTTACAAGTCAATTTGACCCTGCTCTTACAGCACCTTTATGGATACATTACTTTCAGCAACAATAAAAGGCAATTGATTTTGGCTAGTAGCTACCCTGAGAGCCATATGCTAGTTATTGCACATGTGCAGAAGAAAATATAAATGAATAGAACTTAACATTCACCTCTAGGGAAAACACAAGTATTCCTGCAATTTCAATCTTCTAGATTCTATTCAAAATATATGTTCCCAGGCATAGATTATTATTCATTTTTATTTAAAACATCAAATCAATTAAGGAACAATCACAATACCGGTAAGATACATATGTAACCATGTACTACAATTTAATGTTCAGAGTCAAAATAATGTATGTTATGAAGCAGCTCCTTAAGTGCACTAAATTCATTTAAGAGATCATAAAGAATTGCTGTTATCACTGGTAAAAATGCAGAATACTTGGGGTGGGGCGGGGCTTGAATTTAAATGCCAGGCAGCACCAATCAGCCAAATATTTAATTGTAATGAACAACAAACACAGTAGGAGCCTCATGCACAGCCTATTTATTCAAATGTTATTCAGGTATGGATAAGCCTAGTATCTAAAATTCTTCTGTGTAGCTAGGTATACTGTATATTCTTCCCATCAGCTCTTTCTTACAGCTTTGGCAATCGATTCAACTTCAAAGAGACTGATAAAATAATGAAGAGTCCTTTAATCTGCAGGAAACCATTCCAGTCAATTTATAAGAAATATTGCATTCCTTTGTATGATGTGTAATTATTTTCTATTAATCATGTACTATAAAGCTACATTATGTGGTTATTCTGTTATCACTGGGAAGAAGCCTGCAGTCAGCTCCCAACAATGTTAGGTAATTACTAACACAAAGCTTCTTTCTCCTCCTGGAGAAATTCTATCAAGATCCAGAAGCACTGTAATGCTTTATTGTATGAAAGTAACACACCAAAGAAATTAAAGACCTATATAATGGATTGCTTAACAACAAATGCGCATATGTGAGGAAAGGGTGGAGGAAGAAAAGGGAAGAAAAATGCTTTCAAATTTGGGGGAGCTGGATCCAACTTTCTCTTATTTAGAGTAAACCCAAACAATGTAATTTTGCCATTATTAATCTATTTCAATGGGTCTACTTCCTAATCCAGAATAAATCTATGAGAAATTCTCTGCAGTGACATTTTAAAAAATTATTATTATTATTATTATTATTATTATTATTATTATTATTATTATTACATCATCGTCATCATCATCATCATCCTGGGAGGCATCCAAATTTCAGGACTGTAATAATTGAGAGTGATCTCGTCCTAACTTTTCCTGTAATTGAAAATCCCACACCAAATAAAATCCTTCTAGACTATTCTCCTTGTTCTGTAAAACCTTTTCATGGAGAGTGCTCTGTATCCAATACATATCTGTGATGAAAGAGCACATGTCAGAATGAATGGGTCACATCCAGCTAAATGAAGCATGCTTTAGTTCTATTCACTATTTCTCTTAAGCTAGCACCATTGATTTCAGTGTGATTACAGGTACTGACAAAGACTGCAATCCTTAAATTGCTTATTATTAGATTTACTTCCAAGCAACATAGACAAAACTAGGTTGCAACGTATCCTTCCTTCACCTTCCTATATTTCACCTGATTATAAATCATTAAGACTGTATTTCAGGTGATTCACAACAATTACTTGATTCGACCTCATATTGGGCCATGAAAAGTTACATAAGAGTATTTAATTTTTATACATACATACATACATACATACACGGAAATGAATGACTTAAATCCTTAATGAATGTTTGGAATTGGAATACTGTATGACCTCAGACCCAAGGAAAGGCAACCCACTAGCTCACTTTGATTCTCTATTAGGTAGCTTTGTGTGAAGCTATCTAAATACAGACTAACTGCAACCCTAATCTGGATTTAGTAAAACAAATAATTCAGTACTGTATTACCATTCAGTAATGGTATCTTTAAGTACATCAGATATGGACCATAACTCCCATAATCCAAATGCACAAATTTATTGAGTATGCTGGAAGGTTTAATCCAACACATCTGAAGGGTATCATATTTTAGAAGGTGGCTTTAAAATTATACTTTTATAGAAATGTCTCACTGAAACATGGATCTGTAGGGGACAGCTGATAATGGATGGTTTGAAATTGGCAAGCAATTTACTTTGAAAACAAAAAATTGTATCTGCATCATGATTTCTACTAAATTAAATTACTGTACTCTTGTTTCAAAATGCTATTTCAAAATATATTTCATACATATTCCAGAATAAAAAGCTAATGCTGCACCTGCTCTTCAGCAATGAAAACCAAGGTTCTTTTCTGTAGATTATTTTAAGAGATTTCTATGATCTTGTTAGACAAAATTTAAGATGGCAGATTTATTTTGGTTTTGTTCAAAGCTACTCTTGACCACATCAGATATTTCTACTACTAAAAAGCATGACCATATTATATGTCAAAACTCTATAAAGACAGCCATACTATCTGAGTCATGGCAAACAGCACTCTTGATAAATGTTATCACTCTCAAAGTAAGTGTGCAAAAGCTGGTCTGCAGAGTAACTGGTTATATAAAACAAATGCCCAAACCCAGATTTCTGTTACACAATAAAAAGAATGAAACAAGCACTGAGCACACAGTCTTATAATTGTATGTGCCAGGCACATGAAATTGCTCAACTTCACAAACTAAAATCATCTTGACCCTGACAGAGTAAGTGATCTTAAGATCTTACTCACCTTGTAATGTACTCACAATAAAAGCACTGGCAATCTTGAGAACATGTACATTCATACTGAAAGCTAAGTTTATACAAGTAGTCCCCAGTTTAAGAACAAGTTCTATTCCCAAGGTCTGTCCTTAAATTGAATTTGTATGTAAGCTGGAACAGTATA